TATCATACTCAATTATTTGAAACAGATCGTTTACAATGTACGTACAGTACCAGCAGGATTATTATATAGTGGCTTTTTTCCCAAGTTGTAAAAGCAGAAACCATACCAATAAATTTAATATATTATTCACATGATAACATTGTTCGAAATGAAGCGGCGCTCCGGAATCCAACGGATCCCGTTTTCCTAGTTTGTATATGCAGGGGCTAACCCAAACAATATAGGATTTAGTAACCATTTGGATTCACAAAAAATTTTAAAATTCGATGATTGCACTAATTCGGAGCAAAAATGAGACGCAGAAACCTGCGTTACAGCTTTTTTACTAATTTTATAATTCAATATTTTCAATACAAAATAAGTTAAATATGTTTATTTATTATACAAAAAATATATAATTATAAAATAAATATAAAACAAAAAGTTAAAATAATTATTTTATAGTGATCATTAGACGGAATTTTTTTATATTACAATAGTTGATTATCTTATTGCATGTGAATAAAGGTAGATTTGCGTACAACTTTATTCATTGAAAATTTATTGTAAAATTCAGCGTTGTATTTTGTTCCCCCAATTTAGTAAGCTGTCTTGTAAGAATAACATACACAAACTATCGCCAAATTTTTTTTGACGAGAAAAAAAAACTAAAAAAAATAACATTTAAAAAGAGAGTAGAATTTTTAATTATGGCATAAATATAGTAAACCAAATAATGGATAAGGCAGCTAAAAGAAAGTACTGTAGTATGATGATGTTTGACGTTCCATTACCTTCATTTTCTAAATCCAATGATAAATCGGATTCATCGAACCAACTTACTATTGACTATACAACATCATTAGAAAATAGTGCTATTCGCACTCAAGATAATTTTATTTTTACTTCATTTTTGGAACCTATTAAAGTTAAACCACAGCGTTTTCACAAGAATACACGAATTAATTTGTTAGAACAAGATTCGTCAAAAAGTAATGAAATTTTAAACGAACCAAGGAGTCAAGAAACTCGAATACGTCGCCCACCGAACTCTTTCCTTCTTTATAGGCAAGCCAGACAATCAGAAGTAACACGTCTCTACGGAAACATTTCAAATTCCGAGATATCTAAAATATTATCTAATCTTTGGCAAAGTGAATCCGAAGAAGTAAAACACTATTGGCAAAAAATAGCTGATTTAAAAAAATTAGAGCATATGGAAACGTATCCGGAATATGTTTATAATTCAAAATCGGGTACAAAACCGACAAAGAAACGTAAATTGAAGGCCACAGATTCAAATAATTTTCAAAATTCATTACCAATAATGCAAACATCTCATGCTGACCAACCCTCATTTTTTTCAGAGTCAATGATAACAGTTGATTCTAATTCAATTCCTTGGTTTTACAACCAATTTGAAAATCAAAATCAAATTTTGCCATCCATTTTTCCTAAAGACGATTGTGATTACAATGTTATTAATGCACATAAAGTATTAAATAGCGAGCAACAATCACAAATTGAAGCAACTGCTTCAATGTCTTATCCCTATTATGATAATACATATCCTTACTATGATTTTTAATTTTATCGTTTACAATCTTTACACTTCTTTTATCCTTTTGTAAATCACAATCTTTACAACATTATTTATCCTTTAAATATATATTCACTTTTATTATTTATGCGAGACTGAAACATCTCATTATTTACTTTTAATAGTTACTTTTAATTAAGCTAACTCATTATACGTATAAATCTTCGATTTCATTGACATTTCATTCCACGTGACATATTCATTTTTATTACGCTTATCTGTGATTAATAAGAATAATAACATCAATGGTGTTTCTTGTTTTTTTAATAGTTTATAAAATAGTTTATAATTATATTTGCTTAATATAATATAATTAACAGTTATTTTTTATGTATGCATATATGAATATAGCAACAATATAAAATTATATGTAATATATGTGTAATTTTTTATAAATTCTTTTGATCACGTGAATTTACTTTTAAATAAAAAATTTAAAATGCCATTTTTAATAAATTATTTGCTTATAAAATTTTTATATTATTGTGCCGCCGCTGCTATATAATTCACCAAAGTAATATTTCTTATCCTAGCATATCTCAAACCCTATCATTAAATCTTGCATCACTTAAATATCAGTTCATTCCTGTTGTCTATTTATGCATGAGAAGTTTATCTGTTAGCTTCTACTTATCTTGGTACGTATGCAGTTAAAAGGCGTAAATATTATTGTTGTGTAATTTCTAATTACACACTCAAATTTATTCAATGAAATAAGAAAAATGAAAAAATGAAAAAAATGGGTTTATTAATAAGATTCCAAATAAATAGATAATGCAATTTGATCCATTAAAATATACTTCTTATTGCAGTATTGTATGATACTAAATATTTGATTGAAACTACCTTATCTGTATATTTTTTTGTAGGGACTTATTAAGTTATCAATTAGATTTTAAATGTCCAAAGATCAAAAAGTTATATGATTAAAAAAAATTCAATCATGTTTATTGGAGCGTGATTTTACAAAGAATCCGAAGCTAATTTCTCATAATGTAATTAGGCCGTTCAAAGTTGAATAGTTGTAAACATTATCCCCCTCTCCCCCGGAAATTAAACAAGCCAATCACAATGCAGGATAATCTTCAATAATCATGTAATTAGAGTTGACCAATGAGATTTAATCAAGTATTCTGTATCGTATATGTGTTTGTTTGTTTAACCCTGTTAAACAACTAATCAACTTTGAACGGCCTTAGTTATAATAAAGATGTCAAAGTCTCGACCCTTGATTGATTCATAATGTTGATCTCAACGTAAACCCAATAATTTACCTTAACATTGATCCTTAAGATAATAAATAAGGATATTTCTAAATTTTACACAAAAACTTTATTATGACGAAAAATAATCGCGGAGTTATTTAACAATCTTTTGTTGTTTCAAGAGTGCTGAACTTTCAATTGGATTAGGTAGTCATGCCATGGTTTTATACTTCGATAGTATGTGGTTTTTAGGATCCTATCAAGAACGGTCCATAATTCGATTTTTTTTTCTATCCTATCAGAAACGGTACCGATGATCCATCAGGAACGGTATTTTTGCAATTATTAATTACTGGGTAATAGACAACATTTTAAAATATTTACTAAATTTTAATAATAATATATTCTATCAGTGTGTATATACCTCTAATTGATTAATAATCATCGTGTAATATATACGTAATACATGCGATATTTAGAGTGTGGCTATTCCCAAAATATATTTATTTAGGCTGGGCTTGGATCTATTTAGTCGATCGTATGGATAATCAGGTTTTGTCAGTTCCAATAGCTTTAAAATTTATATAGATAAGACCAATTCAGTCGATCCTGGATACAACGGAATTCTATAAACAAACTTTAAATTTTAAAATTCAGTATTATTCTCTTGTAATTTTCTTTTTTTTTTCTTTTTTCTAGAACCGTCAATTCTCTATAGAAATAGTCGACTGTGATTCCTTGATAATAAAAAAATATTTACTTTTTCTGATATCATAATATTATCGTTTTATATCACCTACTTCATTTTACAAATTTATCACAATTTCTAAAAATCACTCATTTAAAATCAATTACTGTAGTGTTTGTATATATGCATGTGATTTTCCCGCGAACCAAATTTAGAAACATTCATGAATGGCGTAATAATCGAATAAATCAGCAGATCGGGCCGGTGTTACTATCGTGGGAGAGCTAATAATAATTGGGTCGGGTTTAGTCAGTATAGTAAATTAATACAGTAGAATTGAGCATAGTAGCCTAGTTGATAATACGTATTTATAACAGATTCTATGATTTATTCTTCTTGAAGATTTGGGACTTAAGGATAAGTGTTGAGTTTCTTATTTGTTTATACTATGATTTTTAAACAAAGAAGAATAATTATCTAAGGACTTTGATGAAGTAGAAGTATTATAATTGAATGACAATATTAGCAAAAAATATTAGTAGATTTGAGCAGCTTTAATATATTTAGTTAGAAGCAGGGATGGTAAATGACCTGAAATGATCTAAATAACCAAATGACTAGTGACTAGTCATTAGTGTCATTTCACATTCAAATGACCTATAGAAGGTCATTTAATATTTGTTAACTAATAATCTAATACCTTTTAACCAATCAGAATTAATTATATTAAGTAAAGTTGTTCATGAGAACAAATTACATCTATCTTGAAATTTTCATAACTTTTAATTAAGTTGTTTTGTGTTTTACGTTTATATAAAAAAATTTTAAATTTTTAGTATAAAAGTAAAATATAAATATAACAATTAAAATTACATAAAAATTTCAATATAGATATAATTTTTCTCCTGAACAATTTTACTTAATATGTAAATATCAATTAACTTAGTAAAATTTTGATTTTTATATGTATCTACAACTATTGATTAGTAAAATCATAGCATTTAATATCTTTTTATATTCATTATCTAACTAATAAAATTATTTTTAATATAAATAATTTAAATAACCTAATGATCTAAAATAATCTAGCCATTTACTCAAATGATCAGATTATTTAATTGAGTAAATAACTAGGTCATTTACTATTCTTAGTTAGAAGTAATAAAAGATTAGTTATTTAGTTAATTGTTATATAGTTTATAATTATTAATTAATTAACTATCTATTTTTTGAAGTATAATTAATTATAAAAAATGAATAGTATATATTAACAATATTTGTTTATATAAAATTTAATCAAGGTCTGGTGATCTTAGTATAGTGATTAGGTTGTTAGACTGCCATGTAAGAGGTCTGAATTCAAATCTCACTGTCAATAAATTTGAATAATTACTCAGACCTTTGTATCCAATTTACAGTAAACCTTGTCTGTTTCTAGAGTTATAACCTTGAAAATCATGTTGTACCAATATTAATTAGGTATTAGAAGTGTAACAGAAAAGTCTGGTCTGATGTATTATTACATGAATAAATCTTGATAGGATCTATGAGCAGAGGACCTGCATTGTAAAAATCCTGAGTTAGGTGATATAGTACGGATTTCGACAGTTATGCTGGCTTGACACTAGATCAGGAAGAAATCTAGAAACGAAGAATGCAGATCGAGTAGGTGCAAGTAAGTCCATAATATAATAGAAAAGTTAAGCATAATGTAACATTACACAAATGCAACACCAACCTGGCTTGGTGGCTAACTGGATTTGGGAGGATCTATCTCGTGAAATATTCAGAAGAACTAGATTAATCTAGTGGAGAGCTACAGAAGGAACTGGGTTTGTATGAACACCGATAAGAGTATATGCTAGCTTAATTAGGATATAGCACAGCATAGTTGAGGTCATCCGCAAGCCCTTACTAGAATAGGATGCAAGTGGATACTTTGTGATAGAGCCCAGTTCTATAAAAACAATTTAAGGCACAAGTTGGTCTAAGTGGTCCTCAAATAAGGCAGCACAAGATTAGTGTAGATATATAAATATTAGGTTAAAAATAAAGTTTCACTGTAACACTAGAGGGTTTAAATAGAGTATCTACAGGCAGATACTAGGTATAGCAATTAGTAGGTAATCTATATAGTGGAACTTGTAAATAAACAACAACTAAAGTTATACGTGTAGCCAATTGTATCCTCACTAACAAAATGTAACTTGAAAAATAATACTTAATAAAAATCTGTGGACAGCTTGTTAAAAAATAAAAAAAAAATAAAATAAAAAAATAAAAAAAAATTTAATCAGTAATTTTATTCGATATAATCAATATTATTTGTTACTATTATAAGAAATCTAATAATAATTATACAAAGTTTAGTCAGATAGTAAACTAATAGAAAAAAATAAATAAAGTAAAATATATATATAGATAAGTAAAAGGTAAGTCAGATACTTAGTAAATAAATATAGCTAGCAGAGTAAATATATAAATAGATAGATATAGTTGTATAAAATAAAATAGATAGTAGATATAAAGTAAAAATAGTAGATAGAATACAAGTATTTAGCAAAGTATCAAGACAAAACAAGAGAAATACAAGAAAATAACTTATCAATAATCTTAGTATAATATAAACAAAGAATTATAATGAAAGTTTTTATTATAAAAAAGAATTATAAAGATAATATTTAATAATACTTAAAGAAACAGATTAGAGTTTCAGAAAGAAGAAATAAGATCATATATATAATAGTTTAATATAGTAATACTTTTATATTAGAATAAAATTTTTTTTTTAATAACTATAATATAGAAGATATTTTATCTTACTTAATTAATTTCTTAATAATAATTAAAATATAAGCTAAAAATCTAAATAATATATATATTATAATTTAAAATTAATTTAAAAATACAAACTATAGATTATTAAATACTAAATTAAGCTAATAACTAAAAGATAATCTAATGATATTATAATAAATTTTATATAAATAAAGATAATAAAAAATAATAATAACTATATAGAGAACTAATCTATAAATAAAAATAGAAATAAATATATTAGTAGCTAATTTTAAAATAAAATATAAAAAGTAATA